TATACAGTGACGAGCAAAAGTGAACACAACTAGCAAAATTTTTGGAAAATTAGCATTTTCAAAACTAAAAATATAAATTTAATTTAATAAATTTTTGAATCCATATTCTAGGGTTTAAAACAAAAGTTTATGCACAAAAATTAGTCACGAAAAAGATAAAAGGCCTGAGAGTTTGTTTATTTAAAAATACTCACTTTTGCACCCATTATTAATACAACGTAAAAACCCAAATCGTAGTGCGCGCCTTTGACTTGCTGTTTTTAGGACGTCTAGAGAAAAGAGTTTTTTCACTCTTGATTTGTTTACATTTCTTTCTATTACAAAAAGAATATTTTATTTCTATTTTAATCAGTCTTTCGTAGTGAAAGGAACCAACATGAAAATTACTCCTCAAAAAACGGCACAAATTGTTTCGATGCTAAAATCGGGTCAACCAACCAGAGAAGTGGCTCGACAGTGTGGCGTCAGCCAAATGACAATGCAAAAAATAAAAAATAAAGGTTGTCCTAACGCTTTACCTCGACTAAAAGGAAGACCTAAGTGTACTACCCCACAAGATAGACGAAGACTTGCTCACTTTTTACAAACGAGAGAAGCATCTTCATCTTCAATGGCGGCCAATCTATTACAACAATACACGGGGAAAAAAGTAAGCAGATGGACAGCTTCGAGAATTCTCAAGGAACAAAATTTTGTGTGTGCCGAAAAAAAGAGAAAACCCACAATTTCCAAAAAAAATATGAAGGCTAGGTTTTACTGCATATGGACCCAAACCCATTAATAAAATTGTTTCTACTATGGATCAATATATGTATAAAAACATTCTATCAAGAAATTTGCTAGGTGTGGTCGCAAAAATGCCAATACCAAACAATGAAGTCATTTTCCAACAGGATAATGACCCCAAGCAGACAGCGAAATACGTTAAACAATGACTTGCCAATCAAAAATTTAAAATTATAGACTGGCCAGCTCAAAGTCCCGACCTGAACCCAATAGAAAATTTTTGGGCATATTTAACAAAAAAATTATGTAGTGAGTACCACGGTCCACCGACTTCACTCGACAATTTGTGGGAAAGAATTAGAGAAGAATGGACAAAAATTGATGTGGACGACTGCGAGTCATTGGTCAACAGAATGCCACGAAGAATGGAAGCAGTGATAAAAGCTAAAGGTTTGTGAACTTATTATTAACGCAAGAATATATTTATAATAATTACCGGTGCAAAAGTGAGTACTTGTAAAAATTCATTTTCTAGAAACACGCTACTTTGTATTTTTTCAGCTAATAAACTTTAATTTTGTTATAAAAATACATTTATTTCTTTGATTAATTTAATCAACCTTATTGACATATTTCTCAAAATTTTCTTATTAGTATTCACTTTTTCTCGTTACTGTATATAAAAGTGTCAGTCTTTCCGGAACATTTTCAATAGTTAAGTTGAAAAAGTTAATTTTTTGTAGAAAAGTTACCATTTTGAAATCCTTCTGTGGGCTGTTAAAGGGTCAAATGTTCACAAAAATTTATAAAATGATAGGTTAATATTTAATGTATCTAAAAAAAAGCTATAATGATTTGGTAATATTTAAATAAGTTATGGCAATTTTAAGTAAAAAAAATTGAAGAAATGTCGAAAATAAGCGATTTTTAGATTTATAATTTTTGGGGGGATTTCCGCCGTTTACGGAAAATGAGGGAATTTTTTCAAATTTGAAGGGAAATGTCTTTGACTAGATACGATTTGTGATCTTTTGACATATNGGGGAACGAGGGAATTTTTTTCAATTTTTGAGGGTAATGTCTTCGACTAGATACGATTTGTGATCTTTTGACATATTGTTCATCAAAATCGGTCCAGCGAGAGCTGAGATTGAGCATTCACAGACACAAAAAAAAACACATCATAGTAAAATTAATACCTTCTTAGCTTCGCATCAAAGCTAAAAAATTAAAAAAATTTCGAAAATTAGCGATTCTTAAATTTGTAATTTTTTTGGAGGTTTCCCCCATTGACGGGAAACGAGGGAAATTTTTTCAATATTTGAGGGTAATGTCTTCGACTAGATACGATTTGTGATCTTTTGACGGATCATTGAAAGAAATCGGTTCGGTGAGAGCTGAGAAAAAATGGTAACAGACAAAAAAAAACACATCATAGTAAAACCAATACCTTCTGATCTTCGCATCGAAGCTTAAAAAAAGATGTGGTATTAAAATAAGTATGAAATTATATTGTTTCAGGTTGGCCAGCAAAAATAGAAGACCAAGTTATTTTACCGTATTTTCGTCGACGGAATGAGTTATCGATCGATAAAGATTGCATTATTGTAG